CTACTACTCCTGCTACTCCTGCTGCTGCTGCTGCTGCTACGACTCCTAATTCCCCCACAACTACTGATGAGGATTAGAGTAGTAATAATGCTATTAATACTACTGCCGCTGCTGCTCCTTCTGCTACTTCTGCTTCTACCACTACGTCAGTGCGGCCACTTCTAGGCAATTAGCTCGGCCCAATGCAGTGGAAAGCCCTCGTACGGTAAAAAGGCACAGTGAAACTCATATAGGGTACGTTTGATGAAACTAGTTGTGAGGACATCAGAGGAAGAGTCTGCATGCTGCCGACAAGGCCACAGAGGTTCGGCTTGCAGTCAACATGGTCTATGATGATGAAGGGATTCTAGAGGTTCTGTTTTGTGAGACGAGTGAGATGCTGCCTGCAGCAGAGGCGTTTCGAGCAAGCTGACAAGAGCACGCGGCACTTTGCCTAAGCCTTGCCACAGACGTGAGACATCGTGAGACTGCATTGCTCTCCTGGCTCTTCTGTCTGGGCGTCCACTGCATCCCTGCGCTGCGATCTTCGTGGTGGGGACATCTGGACCTCGGAGCTGGTGCGGAAGTGCGGAACATACTTTCGGCCGACAAGCCGTGCGACCGCTTCCGGCTTTTCCTCAGCCAAAGTACTGGGGCGATTTTCTGAATGGCTTTGGAGCCAGTGTGAGGCTGTGAAACAGCTTGAGCTCGCCCACAACTTGTTCTCATGACCCGAGCACACAGACGACAAATGCGAGAGCACCGACGAATGCGAGTTGTGTAGCAACCTGCAAGGCGAGAAGGCCGATCTCACGTGAAGTATGTGACACAGCTGGTAGCGCTTGGGGCCTCGAGACGTTGATGTCTGTCAGATGCGATCGCAGGCTGCATCTTCGTCAAGTTCATCGTCATCCTCATCATCACAGTCATCTTTGTCAAGCTCATTGTCATCGTCATCGTCGTCATGACCATCATCATGATCGTCATAATCCTTGTCGTCGTCGTCGTCGTCGTCGTCGTCATCAGCATCATCATTTTCGCCAAATTCGCCATCATGATCATGATCGTCATCAAGGTCATAATCATGATTATCATCATCATCGTTGCTATCATCGTCATCGTAGTAATCCCCCTTGTCATTGTCATCATCATGACCCTGATCATTATGATGGTCATCATCATCGTCGTCACCATGTTCATCGTCATGTACGTCTCGATCTTCAGCACCATCACAACGATCACCAGCTCCACTGAGGTCGGTGCACGATGAGCGCCGCAAGCTTGCCGCAAGCTTAAGTCACGGAATGTAGCAGCGGTTCGAGTGCGACCGGTACAAAGAATCAGGCCATCGCCAAAGATCTTATGACAGTATGGCAGCAGCACACTTGGACAAGTCTTCGCAGGACCCGTGTGACAATCCTAGTTCCAGCCAAGTTAGATATTCCACTATGGGCCCATTATCGGTCAGGAGAACTGGCATTCAATGGCTCTGTGCATCCCTCGCCGGTGTGGGAAAGAAACGCCAACACCAGGCCACATCACAGTCTGATCAGCCATCGTAGGGTTGTGAGTGACTCGGTGTCTGCCAGTTCCTGAGCCGGTGGAAGCGGCACACGTCCATCTGGACTCTGGTGAAACAGCTGCGTGAGGCTCCTTGCAAGTGCATTCCTCCCTTGTCCCATCGTGCATTGGATTGATCTCTGGTCACAGGAATATATTAAGCTGATACCGGATGTGCAGAAGGAGATAGAGGTCGCGGTGGCTGTTGCGATTTGCTGATGACTGCGACATTTTCTGAGGCCTCTGGACTTCCTGCCAGGGTCAGGTTCCTGGAAGAGTTCGTGCAGACGCTGAGGAGAAGATGCGAATACCCAAGTACCATCAAGTACCTAACCGCTTCGCTCGGACATGCACAGGACAGAGTTGGATTCCTTGATGGAGACGGTGAAAGAGCATTCGTGCGCACCTCAGCAGAGAAGTGTAGAGAAGAGACTTGCGGCCAACAAGATATGGCGAGAGATAAACCGCTTTTGAATTTTGCTGGAAATTAAGACCTTCCACGACACCTCAGACACCTCCTTAGTTGGGAGCATGTTTTGCTGCTAATGCGCTGGGTTCTATTATGTCGGGGTTTCTTTTGTGTGTCGCTTGCCTACAGATTCCGCCGCTGCACTACTAAATACTGCACGAGTCGCATCCTTCCGAAAATCAGACGTGCCAGATGGTCTCATGCCTGTCAAATCAGGGGTTGACAGGAAGCGCAGAGAGGAAGGCGCCAGGAGGGACGGAACACGAAGGGAGGATGACAGAGGGCGACCCGGCGACTCACGATGCTTTTTTGATTTTGTTTTTCTACTGGGAGCCGAGCTCATCACTGTCAGGACGGCTCTGGCAATAAATGCCGAATGGGTGGAAAAGACGAGGGTCATCATCCTCGATCTCACTCAGAGGCTAGACGAGGCGCTTTGGTTGGGGGTCTTTCGATGCTGCAGCCAGCGCTGCACATGCAATCACACTAAGCAAGGTGGATGCCAAAGTTGCAGACGTGCTGGTCTCCTGTGGAAAGAGGATGGATGAGGCGACTCGGGGGAGACTGGGGGATCACCACCCCAAGCCAACATAAAGGAGCACGCTTCAAAGTTCACCAGCTCCAGACTACACAGCTCGAGCACGCAATAGCTGACGTCGAAATTTGCCATTTTCGCTGTTCAGGTGGAGGCTCGCCTGGCGGTCTGTGAAAAGAGCGTCGACGACCTGTCCGAGGTTGGGATTGACTTGCCGCACCTTGACGGGACGTAGCTGACGGGGCTGTCAGGCACAGAAGGCTCTTGCCCTTGCAAAAGATGCTGGGGGCAAAGATGGTTTGGGGTTTGGGATTGGCTTTCCTCGGGCCCAGGGAGTCTCTGTCTCCTGTACTGAGGTTCAGTCCATCATGCGCGACGTCCTGCTCATCTGGAGCCTGCATGTTCTTTCTGCAGGCGGCAGTGCGTTGGTGGCAACGAGGGTGCTTTACCCGACAGGAATTCCATCAAGCAGCTTGATGCCGCAAAGGCCGACAAGAAGGACTCAAGCCCTATCTTTAGCCATTCGTTGAATGGCCGGCTAGCTGGTGTGACAGGACATGGACTCCTTTGCGCTTGAAACAAGCAAGAGGGACAGGCATCTCCATCTCCTTACGTTAAGTGACCGGGTGACCGGGAGCAGCGGAGCGCCAGGCAGTCCTTACGCCGCATCGAGGATTTGCAGTCTTCCGTCACGATCCAACTCCGAGAGGCTTGGGCTACCGCAGAAGGGTCTCGCCCAGGTAGTAGGTTTTGTGGCTTGGTCGTGCAGGAGACACTGCGAATACAGGAGAAGTGTGCACAACTGGACGTGAAGGACGGGGATAGATGGGTTGTGCATGCAGGTGCATGCAGCACTACTGGTAGCAGTTGCTTTGCTAGGTCGATGAATCATCCAAGCAGTTTCAATCTCAGCCTCTTTCGCATTTGCCTCCTTTTCCGTTTTCCCATCCATGGCAACCTCGGTTTTGCCCCTGCAGGTTTCTTCACTGGGAGCAGATGTGGGAGCGACTTGCAGCCTACGTCGAGGAGTTGGTGCGAAGCTCGTCCATCATGCGCGGCCGCAGCCACGGCGTCTTCTCTGATTCCGAGGTCAAGCAGGTTGGTGACATGCAATGGGGCAGGACCATGAAACTCCAGAGCAAATTCAGACGGGGGTGTTGTGTCCCACGTGCACGCGACTCGCGCCTAGGACTAACTGCGGAGGCTGCCGACCTCCGAGCGGGCGTGTCAGGCCGCTTCGCACTTGACCGGAGCACGTTCAACATAAAGATGATTGTGTGAGCTCTTCCCAAATAAAGTCTTCGGGTCCTTTGTCGGGAGAGATCTCCTTACACATTTGTGTCCAGCAAGGCGGCGCAGCTCTCACGCGCGAAGCGGCTCGCGGTATGTCCGAATTCACCCCCTCAATCTCGTTCCCTTGTGCTCGGTGGGGGGATGCGCAGGGCGTTGCCGGTCCGGGGTTGAGCTTTGCGCGAAGAGCATCAGATTGGATGTCTAGTCTAGGAGAGCTCGCGAGCCTGTCTGCAAGGCTGCGTCCCGCGAGCGCAACCTTTCCTCGTGATGGCTCGGAATCCGAGCGCTGCCCCGAGAATCAAGCCTTGGCATTTGGAGAGTTCAAGCAGCGGAGTTTGCAGCTCAAGCTAAGCCACTCAAGTGTCACAAGGAATGGGCTTGTTTATGTGAACAGCGAGACCCGCATCAGAGCCACGGATGTTCCATCCTCGGAGTCCTTCGCAAGCTTGTGCTGCGTCTTGCCCGGTTGCGTGCCTCAGGTGCATCCTGACACTCCTCCGTCCTGGGCTGATGAGCGGATGCATGGCTCTGTGACGCAATCAAGCCGAGGCCGATAGATCGAGGTCCAGGTCCCGGCATGTCGCGCACGCAGGGAGCTTACATCCAACGGCTTTTCTCCGATCTCCAAGATCGCCGTCTGATAAAGGCGCCAGAGGATGTTCATGGACCCCACCAGGCGAGCGTAGCAGCACCTCCTGCTCTGAAGGGCACAGCGCTTTGCCAGAAGGCCCGCGCCGAGTTGACACGGCCCACGACGAATGGCCTCCGGAGGACTGCCTTCGCAAACTGAAACCGAGTTTGGGGTTTCTCCGAGCTGCATAAGTATTCTAGAGATCTTCGTGCGATTCCAGGACATGTATGCTAAACGGTGAGGACGGAATTCGCTCTGCACGCAGATGTAAAATTTTGGAAGTGCCAAAGTGCACCAAGTCCAACCCAACGGCCAGAGTCGAAATTCAATTCTGGCGTGCTAATGATCTGGCTGAGCCCAACCGGGGCCTGGCAGAGCCCAGCCAAGCGGGCCGGGGCTGATTTGTTTCACTGCCATGCAGAAGCTGCAGGCACGCGTTTGCAGGCACACTGCAACAAAGAAGCTGATGCACGCATGCACATGCAGACTGCCCTCCCTGTCTCTGTCTCTCTCTCTCCCCCTCTTTCTCTCACTGATCCTGACCTTCTTCCCTTGCACTCGCCCTTGCGCTCGTCCTCTCCCTCTCCACCTCCTGCCTTCCTTCGTTCTGACACACCTTGGCTCATGCTTCTATGACTGTAATTCATGGGCGTTTGCAACGATGGACCGGCGTACATGGCTCAAGAGAGGATCTACACAGTGCCCACTGGTGGGTGGAGGACTGAATACCGGCAAAGCTGCACCTCTGACTGGTCATACACATTTGGCCAGGAGGCAAGCATGGCAATGGAGGTGAATCGGAGTGGCTGGCCCGTTTGAAAAACGGTTTCCTGTACGGTCCATTGGCTGCTTGGCTGATTCCAGGATCTTCTGTGCTGAGCAGATCAATGTTCCTCCTGAGCTGCCGGACATTCTCAAGGCCAGGTCGTCTCTGCGGGCCTGCGGGACCATCTTGCAGAGCATGCCAGCGCCTGGAAAGGACTTTACGAAGGCTGTCATCCGAGAAGATCCCTCTGCCGGCGAAGCTGACCCCGTGCATGCCTCGCATGCCGCACGCGCCGTAATGTCTTTCGCAGAGAATAATCTCGAGGCCAGTGCCAAGATGAAGCTGTACCAGTGGTCTCGAGATTACTTCAAAAAGAAACTCGGCGAGGTGCGGTGCCTTCAATGTGTATCAAGAGGCATGTGCGATTGGTGCTATTCCGAGGCTTCGGCAAGGTGATTGGCTCTGGGAAAAACACACGACGCCCAAACCGGGCTGTGAAGTGTGCAGAATTGGACATGGCAAGTGTTTCACCGGAACTGAGCAAGAGATCAGAAGGTTAAAACCAAGCGGCACAGCCCTTCGGTGCGTCAGAGATGTGAAGTTGCAGACATGCGGAGATGAAGCTGGAATCATCTTGAAAGTCTTGGGTCCGGCAGGCTTAGCTTCTGGGCTCATGTGGGCCGGACACGGGCGAAAGATGTAGATGACTCTACCGCGGCGAAGCTGCCTTGCTGCCAAAACGTGGCCTTCAGCTTAGAAGGCAGTGCAGGCATGGTGACTTGCAGCGGATCTGCTTGGAAATTCAGGTGTGTGGAGTCGGGAGATGGCACAAAAGCCGTTTCATGCATTTCAAGATCTTGTACACGAGATTGAGCAGGACTGCTTGCACAGAGCTCGAATCGGCGTCGCTATCTCTCACATCACGTCTTTTGTGGTTCTTTCGCAGGAGTATGAAGAGGAGCTGGCAAGGCTCCGACTAGAGAACACATGGATGCGGCAACGACTAGGCTTCGCGAAGGACCGCCAACCGCTCTCTCTCTCGCTCTCTCTCTCTCTCTCTCTCTCTCTCCCTCCTTTCTCTCAGTTTCCCGGCGCATTTAATAGCAATCGCTCGGTGGAGGATGAGCACCTGAACCAAGAGAAGGCCCGACGAATTTTGGAGAGCGCTGCATCGGATCACGACGCCGTACGTGTCCACTGGCCAGGTCTTGGGGAGGATGGCGCTTAGTGCAGCTCGCGAGGCGCCGCCGCTATGCATACGATCACATGCACACGCCCCTCACGCCCTGGCCCGTGCAGGCGCCGTCACCGACCTCTTCAAGAATAGCGGATCCAGACAGCTGCTGCCTCTGGGCTTCCATTCGTTTCCGTTCTTCGAGGGAGATGCCTCATTCAAGGTGGAGAACCATTTGAGCGGCGCGTGTCTGTAGACTCACTTGGGCAGACGACTTAGCTTCTGCAGTAGATGCTTGCGTCGTGGCCGAAGGGCAGGAACGTTTAGCTTGACTGTGAAGACGACCTCAGGAACCGCATGCCTGCCCCAATTGTCGTCAACGGGGGTGTTGTCGAGGTCCTGCACAAACAAAGCCCTTGTTGTTATTGCGGCACGCATATGCCCTGTTGGTGAAGGCGAAGGAGTTCACGTTTGAGACAAATCCTATGTGGCATACGACCGACGTGAAGCTGTCTGCTTGGGAAACCAGCGACTTTCTCAGCTCTTAACCGGCAAGCACCCAAGTGACCGGCCTGGATGCCTAGATGTAGATGTTGAATCGCTGAGGCATATCTGCAGAGCTCACCCAAGACTTGCAAAAGGTCGGTCTTCCCATGGCTTCGGGGGTGGGGAGCTTGGTCGCTGTGTCGGACTTGTCTTGTGGTAGCCACGAGGGTGCGACCCTCACCCCCTCTCCCTCCAACTTTTTAGAGCCTCCTCTCTGTTTTCAGGGCCTTGGGTTCAGAGAGCTCCCTTCAGACGCCCTGCAATGCAAAAGGGTGTTTAGCCAAACAGCGCTGCTAGAAAAGCTTAAGCTCGGAATTCTTGCAAGCGGGAAGGAACCTCTTACCTTTGTGAAAGCTAGCGAGAAGGAGAGAGAGACAGAGAGAGAGCCTGTCGGGCTAAAGGCCTGAGGGTCGGGAACGCCGACCCCTAAGCCCTGCAGAAAGAAAGAAAAGCCTGTCGGGGACGCCGACCCCTACGCCCAGCAGAAAGAAAGAGCCTCAACATTTTGGGCGGGCAGACCGCCTTCTCTTTGGCTGTGTGGAAGAAGAGCCTCAACATTTTGCGGTATCACACGGGCTCTGTGAACGCCAGTGCTTTTGCGAGCGCGGGGGGCAGTGCGTCCGCTCTCCTCGCTTGGCTGTGTGGAAGAAGAGAGGGCCTTTGCATCTACTAGTCTCCAAGAGCGGAGAGTGAAACCCAACTCTGAAGAGCCCACAAGACTCCACCAGGTCGAGGTCGGGCATCCAAGGCAGAAAGACCAGGTAGTTCAGGAACGAATCGGGGACCTCCATGCGAAATGACTGCCAGTGCACCGAGATGGTGTTGTGACTCCTGAGCAGAGGTTCGTTTGTTACCTACTTTGCCTCCTGGAAGGAGCTTGGCTCAAACGTGAAGAACACGACTCACAGGCTTATGAAGCGGTGTCAGCACTGCCCGGCATGTTTCAGAAGATCAGAGCCGCTCGTCATCGGCAGGGAAGCAGAGCCGCTTGCTTCCTTGCCAGGCTTCCAATGAGTCCTAATGCTCCGATTCGGCTTAGCTGGGACGTGGCTAGCATGATCCTCATCAGCCCGCGCCCTGGAAGTCTTGCTGCGATGTGTCGGCTGACTTGTCATTGCGTGCAGCAAAATGCTGTGTGCATGTCGTGACGAACACTCCTGTCGCTCTTTCACCGCAGGTTATGATGTTTGGTGGATCCCGTTGCAATGCTTTGATCCAGCCGAAGATACTGCAATCCTGGCAAGTTACGGCGGTACGCGCTCTGTTCACTGTCCCTGCTCTCGCTGGTTTGAGCAATCCTGGCAGTTCACTACGCTGATGGGCTGGGTATCGTTGATTTTTTGGACCCTGGACATGGTGGCAACACTGCTGGCTGCGGGCTAAGCATGTTGTGCTGCAGAGCTTCCAGCTTTAAGCCGATGTTCATCGGCATAATAGCCGTAAGTTTTTCTTTGAATCCGCCCACTGTGCTGGCAGGTCGGTTATTTCGATGATGGTGAACTTGTCCTCTCGCCCAAGAGGATAGCATGTCGGTGGCCCGCCAGATTTGGAGACGATTCATTCCTGGACTGCTGGGGGCCTGAATCAGGTATTTGCGCACATGGTTCCTGCCGGACCTGATCGTGGTTCTGCCTGACTGGTTCACTCGATTGGTGGACCCTGAAGGTGGTGACGGCCTTGCAACCGTGGCTAAGATTGCAGATCAGAAGGCGGACGTGCACAGGTTTGCCAGAATGTGTGCTGCAGCGACTGTCTAGCTGAGGTCGCCAGGATGATCAAGGGATTTAGGGCCATTCGGATATTGCGACTTCTTCGCTTGCTGAAGTTGCAGCGCTTCTCGGCCAATGGATCACCTTGTGGCAGGGTGGCCAGTTCGGCACAAGTCTGTTCAGAATGACTTGTGCACATAAGATGAAGAGTCCAGTAGGCACAGACAGTCAAAGTCGGGATGCTTGCTAGATTCCGAGTGTTCTGTGAACGGAAAAGCAGCGTAGCATGCTCTCCTCAGATCGATTGCTGGCTTTGCGCATCTCCATCCCATCAGCAGTTGCAGAGAGACAAGCTTTCAGATGCCATGTGGTTTCACTGAGGCTTGATGAATATGGTGTATGACCTCATTGACAGTGAGTACATGTTTATTGCACCTTGGACCTCGCCAGCCCTTCTGCCATGAATGCTTGTGTTCTTGCAAGCAGTTGCCGGCGGAATCTCGAAGACTCGCGCTCGTTTGGATTTCCGGCTATATCAGGTCTTCACGATGATAAGACTGATAGTTGCCATCACCGCACCAGCCTCAGCCATTCAACTGTTCGCTGCTTGGATCTCGCCAAGTGTTTACTGCTGTATCTGCACTCATGTCAAGAGCTCTGCTTCAATGTGATGGGATGAGGTGCTTAATCATGTGATTGCTTGCATTTGGTACCTCGTTGGGTACTTGACAATGCAAGCAGGTTGGTGCCTCAATTGCTTGGGCAGGGCTTTCTTGCTGTGTGCAGCTGCGAGCATCGACTCCAGGAATGCCCAACTGGTTAGAGGACACAGGACAGGACGATTTCACACAGCAGGGGAGTGGGTCTCATCACAGCAAGTCGTGCGCAGGACTGAGAAATGTTTACACCTCCGACTT